GGTCAGCCGTGTCTGGGCTCCGACCCGTGGAGCCCTCCCCGTGTGTGCAGCGGCTGAGCTCACAGCACAGGCTTTTCCAATCTAGGTCTCACTGTACTGTCCAGCTACTGATTTTTTGCTTATGAAACAACTATAAAATATCTTTGATATCTGTCAGATTTGTTCTAAATTTGTCACTTGGCCTAAATGTTTGTAGGGCAAATGCCTGAATTCTCTGCAGAGGCTGGCATGTGCCCCCTGTCCTCAGGACAGCAGGGTAACGTAGGTGACTGGGGGGTACACACATGGCCAGGGTCGTGTGGCAGAGCTGCTGCTGCAAGAAGGGGGAGAAGGAACTCCCTGCACTGGTCCCCCAGCTGCTCCAGCCGGGCAGCAAGCACTGGACCTGCCTCCCCCTGGCTCCTCTCGCTGTGCTGTGGGGCCGCAAGAAGACAAGCAGCTCATTTTGTACGAAATGAGGTTTTGCATTATTATTATTCGATTTTTATCCTTTTTCTCCCCTCCAAGAAAAGCTATCATAACAGTCAATTATTATATAATTAACTCAGGGTTAGCGTACCATCAAAACAATTCAACAGCAACATGCACCTGCAAAAACACCTGTATACTGCTAGGCACTGCTACTAAAAATGTATCCATCAAAATTGCAGTAATTATGTGTGATAACAGGAACACGATATTTATCTTGCTGATCTTTGCCTTATAAAAGTGAAATTCTAGAATTTGGCCTCTTTTTACTATCAGCTAATAAATATTTTAAACATTTATTTGTTAGTAATTCTGTATTGTTGCTGTTTTTGTTATTATGAACAGTAGCCAGTGGTATTATTTTTTGTTACTTTTTTTTTAAATCAGAACTGCAGAATAATTCTGTGGTTTTAGTTTGGCAGCTGACAAAAATAATTACACTGAATATGTTAATTCTGGTGCCTAGAACACTTACCTTGAGTTACTCAGGAAACTGAGACACCTCCTCCTTTGCTTTATGAGCTGGGTAAAAAACACTTTTCAGCCAAAATGGCTTTGAAAATTTAACTACAATTAGCTAATGTTTTAAATTGACCAGCACTACGATTTCTAGCATTTTATCTGTATATCTTCTCTCTCCTTTACTTCAAATAACTCTAGCCCCAACAATCTTATTCTGGTATTACTTCTCATTTATTGTTTATAAAGAATAGCCCTGCCACATGGGAAAGGCCATTAAAAAATACTGTTACAGACCTTTCAGTGCTTATTCTTCAAATCCTAGTCTCCGGAGTGCTTACTGTTCATATCTAACTGTCTCATAAAATACACCTTTATGTAAGAATAAATATGCATAGTAACATGCAGAAGAAGATTTACACGTAAGTTAAAACATGCAGGCTCTAGGAAGTGAGCACGTGCGCATTCGTTATCCGTGCTTTGTCACTGACAGGGGGGAGGTTGTTTGGAGTCGTGCGGGTATTACGATATGAACACGCAGCATTCAGAACTACGACATTATCTATAAAATAGACAGCTAAGTGCACAGACGTAAAAGCAAAGATGTTCATGCCAGTATTGTGAGATGAAGCCATAAATCTTACTGAACACAGATTTTGCCTTTTGAATTGTACACTGCAAAAACACAGAGTAATTTCATGGGATAATTCTTTCTAAATTATCTGTTTAGTTGTCCCTGTTTGATTTTGCTGTGCATTCATTTTAAAGCAAGTGTTTTAAATTACTCCTTACCTTCCATGACAGAAACATGGCTTAGCACCAGCTCTCTCCTTTAAGGACCTCCACTTTAATACTTCTGCAGTGGTCTTTCTGTTGTGATTCCTCCTATAAAATGTTAGAGGACAGCAGTGGGTTACTTTGTTCCTGTTTCTTTAAAGAATGAGTTTGATAATTTACTCTAATTTTAGACTTTGACTATTTTTGGCGAGAGTCTGTTGGGTTAGATCAATTGAACCTTGTACCAGCAGCTTCATTCAATAGTCTTCATGAGCACAAATTCTCTGCTGGACTTTCATTTTTTTTTCTAAAGAACCTCATGCATTTTACTTATTTGTAAATAAAATTCTGCACAGGTATGGAGTATTTGTAACATTTACAGATGCACCAAGCATTAGTTCTTGTTAGGTTTAAAAAAATATTTATCTTACAAATTCTCATCCTCCCATTCATAGTGCTCTTTAGTCTTTTCTTCTGCAGAAGTTCAATGATTCCATAAAGTTTGTTAGACATTGTGACAGAAACTCATGCCAAGAGCAAGTATTTATCATATCAAAAAATGTCCACAAACATTTAATCTGCTTTAAAGTGAAGCATGCTTTTTCTTGTAGTGAAATGAATCTTTTCGAAGTACAGCTTTCAGCAAACTCATCAGTTTAACTACAGTTCCCCTCTAGAGCTTAAGGCCAAAGGTTGTGTTGTTACCAGAATGGCCTCATGAACACCACTGGTCACCAGACTGCATCTACATACTATTCACTAAGTAAACAGTAGGCCAACCTCAGCGCGGTGAGCACAGGGGACGGGGCTGTCCTTGGAGAACCCAGTTTCATGTCCATAAACTGTGTGATGTGTGGCTCATACCAGTCTCAAAAATCCACTGATTAACTTCATTCATTAAAACCATGTACAGGTTTTTATTGTTTGTCAGTTCATGCTCCTGACAAGGCCAAGGTTTAGAGAATTCATTGTCGGTCAGGGTGTGAGCCACTTGTAACAAGAGAAATGAACGTACCACAGAGCACTTCCTGCAGTGGCAGGGAGCTGTTTTGGGGCGACACGCCCTTCCCTTTCACTAGTGGCTTTCAGATGAGCTGTGCTCCAGGATGGTGAAATGCAGAAAATGACAACATTCTTGCCAAGCTGATTCTTGCCTAAAATCTGATGCTTCCATGACCAGCCACCTAGCAGCAAAAGACAGCAACCAGATCTTGCGGGGATTCTCTACTCTGCACCAACTGCACCAAATCCACGGTGATTCATCGGAATGTCAAAACACGATGCACATTCACAAAGCTCCATGATGCAGCCGTCCACAAAGAAGAAATAAGCTTGTTGTGATCTCTGCAGGCAAAACAGTTGAAGCCATGCTTGATTGTACCTACACGATGCTATATTTAGAACTTATTTTGTAGCTTTATCTCCAGGTACTTCAGATGACTTTGTTTTCTTTACTGCTTGCTATCTCCTTTATGGGCTTTTTCATAAATTTTTTGGACAAAGATTGTATCACCCCTTGACTGCTAGTATGGGTGTGGCATGGACTCTGAGCATCTAATTCTGTCAGTGAGTGGGAGTTCATAGGTTTCTCTCTTTCTAACTTATTCCAAGGTCATTTCAAGTTGTATTTTGTAGCTTGGCACCTTTTTGTCTGTTTTGTGTTTTCTACATTTTCATTTAACCAGGATAGCCTCTCAGCCTCTATAAAGTTTTGTACGTTGGTGGAATGATGTCTTTTTTGCCATTCACTGGGAAATCTTCAAGGAGTTCCTAGATTTTGTTAGAACTGCCATTAACACTTTAATGTAATTTCATAATTAATTTCTGCAACAATCATGTTAAGGAATTACTTTCACTGTGACTGTAATAGTTAAGAAGAGGGAGTTCTGATAAGGCCTGTGTTCCTCTGCTGTGGCGTAAATTCCTCTTGCCTGTCCATCACAGGTGATATTCAGGAAACAAATTGGTCATTCATTCTGAGTGCTGACAAAAAATGTTTCAGGGTGGGAATCAGTGTCCTCTGTATGCCCTGCCAACAATATTTTTTATGCATAATGTGTGTTAGTCTTGGGAAGGAGCAAACTAATTCTAGTCAAAAGTCAGTTGATATTTTTATGTCTGCCCTATTCTGAAGTAATAGCTGTTTTGCAGATGTCTAGGAAGTTGCCTACAAAGTGACTAGGCAGGTTAATCAGTTGCTAAAAATCTCACAGGTTTTTAATAAGTTAAGTTGTAAAATAGATTTTGAAGCTTAAAGATATAGGTCAATAAATACAATCACAGATATTTGTGTATATTGAACGTGATCCTGACATTACTTCTGGATGTGGTTAGGATTTGGTACCACAGCATGTCCTTAATGTGTTAAACTTGAGTGAATGCCTGAGTACTTATTCAGCTGGGTTCTTTTACCCAATCCACAGTATTACAGAAAGTTCTTCAGCAAAGTTATCTGCGTAAACAGTAGTAGGACAGGGGCCATTTTTAAGCAATGTCTGATTTTATTGGGACAAAATGACATAAATATAGAACTAGTTAAAGACAGATTCATATCTTTGCTCCTTTTATCAACTTCATGTTGAATATTTTGTGTTTATGTTTTATCCTGGCTATTCACTTCCTATAACATTGACTATAAAAATTTTTTGGCATATTTACTCAGAGCATTTGAAATTATGTAGAAGAATATAAAAATACGTTTCAAAAACTAGCAAAACCTAATTTTCGCAGTTGGGTAGATAATAGTTTATTTTCAGTGCAATGGGAGATCACATTTTTTTGACAGAACTCTAAATTCATAACAGCTACAGAATTCAAACTTAGTTTATGATCTACAGTCTCTTCAGTAGAGCAAGGAACAGTAATATATTTCTCATAAACAGTGTTCTAGCTTGTCCAGCTTAATTGGAATCCTGATGGTAAAGTCACATATTCAGCATGAAATTTTATATAGACTTGATGAGATGTAGCAGTAAATGGAGAGATGTTTGTATCCTAAAATTAAAGACAAGAAAAATGAAAAGCTTTAGAGAACATAAAGATCCTTTGGAAAAGCCAGTTAGAGAGTTAAAATTGAGGCACAAATTGGACCATAGTTTGAAAGGGACCTCGGGTCTGTGCTAGATGCTGCTTTTCCATTTCTCCCTCAGGGTATTACAAATATTTAAGTCACAAATACAACTAAATACAGAACAAACTAGCTGGGTGATGCATCCCACTAGATGTCACTGTAAGGTCTACGTTGGAGGGCTTCTAAGGTGCCACACAAGCTTTATGCCTTCACTTCCTCTCATCTGTATGGAATTCATGGCAGAACTGGGAAACAATCCTAAATATGAAACAGTAAAGATCAATTTTAACCAATTAAAGAGGCACAGAGAGTAGGCAATACATACCATCCCACAGTACGGCCCGGCTGGGGGATAGCTGGCATCTGGCCCATTGTAAAGGATCAGATAGTTGCTACTGCAATCCCCTGGGTCATCAATGCTGATGAAATCAAAGTTCACTGTGACAATTCCTCCCTTGGGCACAGTTATGGCCCACTCACAGTCAGTGTTGTTGTGGTAAGTTGCAGGGTAGCTGGGACTGGCAAATGAGCCGGTGCTGCCGTATAATGTTCCTCCACATCCTGGAAAGAGACACTGTTAATTAGCTTAGAAGGCTTAGTTTCACAAGATACTACATGATGTAGTACACTAGTAAAGTATTAGAGTAGTACTCTGCCAGAGAGATGCTGGAAGCTGGAATAATGAATGTGGATAAGAACATTATTCCAATAAGAGACAGAAGTGAGGCTCTAGCTTCAGCAGCCTGAGAGGAATATGCAATGGGCATTAGACCATCACTGGATTTTAAAAATCAAAACCCCAAAAGCTCTTTGAAACAGGAACCAAAGTCTTAAGTCTGTGCCTTGGTCAGTTAAGTTCCCAACTACTCAACTAGAGACAAATTTTCTTTGACTCTTATTTGGAATAAAAAATAGTGAATCTTCATCTGATAGCAACATACAGCAGAGAACAACTCAGAGAAAATAGTCATATTAAGTAAACTAAAGGCCATTTGTACCAAAATTCAGTCTCCAACAGTGGGAAGAAGCAGAAATGCAAGTTTATAGAGTAAGAGTAAACATGTGCAGATCATCGCCCAGATTACTGGAAGTGTTTAAGGCCAGGCTGATGAGGCTTTGAGCAACCTGGTCTAGTAGAAGGTGCCCCTGCTCATGGCAGGGGGGTTGGAACTAGATGATCTTTAAGGTCCCTTCCAACCCAAACCATTCTATGATTCTATGATTTTCAGCTCACAGCTCCCAGACGTGGCATCTTTGTATTTAATACTCTTTATCAGATGTCTTCTATGAACTTGTTCAGGTAGCCCTCAAATCCATGTAAATTTCTAGCATCCTATCAGAAAGAGTGCCACAGCTTCACTGCATACTGTGTGAAGAACGGTTTTGGTTGGTTGGTTTTGAAGCCACCACCTCCTGGCTTTATCCGATGGCCTCTATTTCTTCTATGGGAAAAGTCAATGAATGATTGATCAATATTTATCATCCAATATCACTGAATTTTATAGACCTCAGTAGTTCCTTAACCAGACTAAAAAGTCTCAGCATACCTCATACAAAAGGCATTTTTTACGTCGAGTCCTTAGTTATACTGGATTGTTTATAAGAGGAGGAGACCAGAACTGTGCACATCATTCAATTTGTGTGTGAGCTATGGATTTATACAGTGGCTATCTATTTGTTCTGTCTTCCTTTCCCCAAAATCCCTAGCATTGTGCTAGCCTACTTGACTACTGGTGAGCAGTGAGCTCTTGTTTTCATGGAACTGTTTTACCCCCAAGATCTTGTTGCTGACTACTAAGAGTCAACTCAGAGCCTATGTTTTTGTAAGTAAAGTTGGCATTGTCTTTTTTTTTTGCCCATGTTCTTCATCAACACTTTCCTACCCTGAACTTTATCTGCTTTTTCATCACGATGCCAGTCAATAAGGTTTCTCTGCAGTGCTTTTCAGCTGGCCATGAGCTTTCCTACCTCCAGTAACTTAGTGTCATTAACAAACTATTACTCAGATATTCACTGCCATTTCATAAGCCATTTATGAATGTATCTATGATATAGTCACTACATAGCGTTATAGTAAGGTTTTTTTCTTGGGACAAATTTCAGTCCTCTTCAGGCTTAGCTGTGCCTAGATTGTAGGGCATATCACAACTGGAGTTTTAATGGAAGAGGCTGAATCACCACCACCACTTTGTAGATGCCAAGATAGATGTTCCTGATATTTTCTGACCTCTCAGTGAAAGATGTCGATCTTCAGCTTAAGTGGACTACATCCTCTGAGGTTGCTAAAGTCAGCATTAGAGAGAGGGAATTGCTTCCATCACATAAAATGGATTTTACCCCACTGGTCTTCAGGAATAACTACCTCTCTCCAGTGATGGAATAGGGTGGACTATGGGTGCTTGTGAACGTCTCAAAGGTTGATGTGGCAGGGACCAAACTGAGCAGGCTGAATTCACATTTCTGTATTTTCCCTCTATGTACAATTGCTAAGTGGAATTATTTTGTAATTATGGATTTACCACTCGTTGATGAAGTCCAAGTAATTTCATATCCATCACGAGCCCCTGAAAAATCACTCTTGAAATGAAGGAACACAACATGATTTTGGGGGAAGATGGGACTGGGCACAGTGTTTCCACAGAACCTGCCAAGTAGTGGTGATTGCACATCACTCCCATTTCTGACCTTCAAGGGACACAAAAAACATTGTCAATATTAAATCCCTATGCCAGTTATACACCAGTACAATTATGCAGTGATACAAGCACAGCACAAACTATGTAGTGACTTGCATGCACACCATACTTGTTATTTTAATACTGGGGTTTTTTTCCTACTATATATTCTTGTATAGAAGGAAAAAGAGACTTTTAACCACTCTGTCTGAGTTTTGTAAGTAATTGCACAGAACAAGTATATTTAGAAACAAGTAGATAAATTTTATGGTGTGGTATATCTCCTGACTGAAAAAAAATTACTTGACTAGTAGCTAAGATGTGCTTTTGTAATTCAAGCCCATTTTTTACTTTTCATAAGAAATATTAATATTCCAGATGAAAAAATTAATTCTTTACCCTGCAGACCACTCTTTTCCCTAGTCAGATTAAGACACAGATCATATTACACAGCTCAGATTTAATCTGGGTTTTTTCTGAGCTCCAATAATGTTGGTGCTCAGATCCATTTCTTGATACAGTAAAGAGGATGTGAAAGGAGTACTAAATGATTCTGCCACAAACATCTGATTTTTGTCATCTGACAAAGCGTGAAAGGACAGAGTGGGGATTGTGTAGGAGGATATGCTTTACATTAACATACAGTACCTTTGAAAGTATCTTATACTTGTTACTAATGCTCCTTTTCTTTTAAAGAAAAAATGCTTTTTAAAGAAAAAAATATTTTTAAGAAAAATATAAAGCAAATGGAATCTACTGCTGAAATGAAAGCACTCAGATTTATGGCTTTCTGTTCATGCACAGATGTTAATATCATATGAAAACAATCCTGCCTTGCTCTGTTAACTGCGTAACATCAACAAAAGCTATGTAAAGATGAGTTAGTTGGTAATTAAACTATTTATTCATTGGTTTTGGATTTACGATAGTGTGTATTGTTTAACCTCGTACTGTAGCATCTGAGTACCTTTCACCATAAAACTGCAGCAATAAATTAGTCCCTGATGTCAGTTCAGCTTAGACTTGATCCAAGCTTATTAATATCCTTTGAATTCAGTAGATTTTGACACAGGCCCACAAAATATGCATACTTGCTTGATACCTCTAGGAAATCACGTGAACACTGGATGCTGTCCTCCAAACTGAAAGCATGGAAAAAGAGAGAAATAGTGTGGTTCAGGGGAGCCCGTAGAATGATAGAACAGTCCATATTATTGGGGTGACGACCAGGCCAGCCGGGGCTCTTCAGGTAACCAAAAGGCTGTTTATACTCTCTGCTGCAACCTTGAGACAGAAAACCAGAAACATGTAAGCATTTCAGATCTCTGTATTGCTTTTCGCTGTGTGGAATCAACGGAGAGAATGGTAGGTAGATTTTTTTAGACATTTCTTCAAGCTTACCTGTGGCTTGATATGTAAATCTGACTCCATTATTAATCATGTATTCATCTGATTTGAAAGTCACAATGGCAGTGCGATCATAAGAATAGAATTCAGGGACTGGAAAAGTTTCAGTGCCGCAGAATCTATGGACTAATCCTTGGTTGTGCTGGAATTCAATACATGTCACAAGTTACTTCTACTTAATGATGTTATTTGGTTTTCTGCTTACTTGAGGTGAATAGATCTCTCAGCACTTTCTATACCAGTTATGCAATCACATTTCACAGTTCTAAGTGAAATCACTTAATAATGTCTGAACATTTTATGTTCAATTATTATGAGAAACAAATCAAATGTGACAGGTATTTTCATGCCAAAAAAAGAATCAATGAAAGAAGGTTTAGAATAATATAATACAAGGAACATAAACAGTTGTTTGGTTTTTGGTTTTGTTTTTTTTCTGGTACTTTCTACAAACACTCTTCTTGGCATGAACATTTATTTTTATTATGGTTCTTGGGTGGGAGGAAGTACAACTAGTTTATGAAAACTTGCTGTTGGGTAGTATGTTCTGGGTGTTTGGCAGCTCTGTTATGTGGTGCAACAGTGCAAAACCAAGGTCTAATTCAATGTGTGTATAATGTGCTTGCATGAAGTCTGTGTACCAGTTAACACACCTTAAGTGCTCCACAATGCATACTGCTTTGGATATGGCCCTCACACAGAATCATCAATTAATCTATTACCAAATGGTGGGTTTCCTCTCTCTTTACAGAGTGAAATAAGCTAAATGTGAATGGGGAATGCTATCAACTGTAAATTTCTTACTGTTGGTGAGTCCTGGAGCTCTAGGTAGTTTTGAGAGCAGTCCTGGACAGAATGGAGGTGGAAGGCCTCTACCACCACTCTGACTTGCTGCTGCGGAGGGGCATCAATGACCCAAGTGCAGAGAGTAAATGGTGGATATTCATTCGGGAAGTTAGGAGATGTTGCAGTCAGGGATGTAGAGGTTGCATTATACATTCCTCCACACAGTCCTGTGTAAAATAGTAATAAATGCATCATAGAGTGAAAACCTTTCCAACTGGGGAAAAAATATTTATTGAGCAAAACTACACTGGACAGTATACTTTTGTATTTACCTGAGACTCTCTAGAGGAAAAAAAACCTAAGTAAAACACATGCTAATGCTGTGTCAATGTATGTTGTACAACTCAAAAAAATATTTGTTCCCTGTAATATCAGAGCATTTGTTAACAGTCTGTGATGGAGTGTTCTTGTTTTGCACTCCAGACTGACAGCCACCCCACAACCAGCCAAGACTGATGCACATTGCACTGGGGTCTAGCAGTGCTGCTTTTAGATTGTATGCTGAGGATTGTCTTTGCAGCTTTCTGGGCCCTATATCTAGAACAAATATTGATGATCTATTATTTAAATATGTATTTCCTAACAAAAGAGTCATAACAATGTATATGAATATGTATATATGTGTACTTACGATCCACTGTGGCATACGTCACATTGAAACCCTCCCTTTCCACAGAATTGTCTGTGACAAATTTAACCGTCAAGGAATTATGGGTAGAAAGAAAAGGAGCTGGCACCGTAGATCCACAGTATGTGCCAACTAAATTGGCATTTTCATTATCTCCATCATAAAGCTGAAAGAAGAAAAGAATATAAGCCACTAATAGTTTAGGCACAACAAATAAATAAATAGAAATAAAGTTCTCTGACCCCTCCTGGAATTACGGTTTCTTTTACTTGAAAGCACAGTAGGTGCTTTTGTGCTGTATCAGGATGTTCTTGATGACTGTAATTATTCACTGCCATATTAACTAATTCTGTTGGACGGTATAAATCTCATTATGGAACATTCTGGTCCCGTCTCAGCAAATCTGTCAAAAATTCATTCTATTTTAATTTGGCATTCCATTTTCTTTTTTTATATGCAATCTCAAAGCACTTTTCAATGAGAAAGGTTGTTTTTATCCACCAAAATGTGAAATTAACTCCTAGTTTCATTGAGCATCTCTAATGCTCAACAGGATCTCTTACACTCCTTGGTCAATCTTGTTTAGGAGTATTTTACTATCTATTCTATGTTTTATATGCTCATCTCCTAGGAAGTGGCTTTCACAGGTGAGCATTTAGCATCAAGACTTATTTATTAACATTTTTATAAATTAAAGTATTTTCAGGCAATTGTGTATGATATTGAATCTGAAAGTTTACTTTCAAAGTGCCTGAGCTCTGTTTTGTTTCTATTCTGTGAAATAGAGTGATTTTTACAGGCAGTTCTAAGAACAGAAGCATGTCCCAGTAACGATGTTAAAAGGCAGGATGTCATCTGGAGTAGTAAGCTAACTCAGTGAAAAAAATTGTTATTATATTAAGCAATTTAATTTCTTCATAAGATCATTTTCTATTAATTAAGTTTTAGCTTCATGGAGAGGATAATGGATCATATCTCACTGATATTTTCTTGTTAAAATACATAGTTATCTTACTTTGACATAATCATATCGGCAAGTCCGAGCAAACTGTGCTTCAAGCACAAATGAGTTGAAGGTGAGGTTGATCAGTTTGTTTGCAGGTGCAGTTATGATCCATACACAGTCCAGATTTTTCTCATATCTTCTGCTCACATTGGAGACAGGAGAGCCAAAGCTATAGGCTGAATTTGTCAAGTAACCACCACAGCCATTCTGAGGTCCTGTTGAAGAAGCAGAAGCTTTTCAAAAGCAATTCCTGGCATTTATTTAATGTTCAATTCTTCAGTGTCAAGCCAGCAGCTTTTTTCTGTGCTACAGAATTCTACTGTTCTGTCACGCAAGGACTATCTGAATGATTAAAGGGCTTTCAACACAAACTGCGTTAGATAGATACAAATCACAATTACATTTGGTAGAGTGAATTAAGAAAGGCTCATGTCTTCTGTTGAATATAAAATCAGTATCCACTTTGAAAGTGTAGCAACATTTTTTTCAAAAGGGGTTGTAAGAAGACAGAGGACAGAAATTAAATAGAAGAATAGTGCTTAGAAGGCCTTTTAATGTCATTCTTAACTGCTAGTAAGAATATTTGGGCAGTAGGGGGCACTGGGTCGTTGTCTTTGAAAATCTAGTTAACTATTAAATTGCTTATTTTGGCAATACGACCTTGTTCTGAGGGGACTCAATGTGACAGCCTGACACTAGGACCCAGCCTCATATTCAGGAATCTAGCTAAAAGGCACTTACTTCTGGAAGCGTTTTTTGTGGTGGGAACTTACAACCCCTCTGAAAAGCAGGCTGCTTTTCATTTGGATCCAACATACTTAGAAATCTTATTGTAGTTACTTGCTATGAAAATTTCAACCCTATAATGTTTTCAGTCACAGTGAAAGAAATTACTTTTGGAGAAAAGCAGTTATTGGAAGATCAGAACCCTTCTATTGTGTCTAATTATAAACAAGTAAAGAAATGCACATTATCTGAAGGAGTTGTTTCGGGCTTTTCTACTTCTCTCTCTTTCTTTCTTTTTTTTTTTTTTTTTTTTTTTTTTTTTAATTATTATTATTATTATTTTAATAGTTTGATTCCCAGAGGTTGGACAAGGCTGGTGAATCTGATCAATTTGTTTACTTCATGCTTTCTTCCCCAGTCTCCATGGGGTTTTCTCGCCACTTATTTAACTCAGGAATTCAAATAAAGTATGGTTCATACTCCCACTTTTGAGCCTGAGAAAGAGTTTTTGTAAACTGCACAGAGCGGAGCGATCGCTGCAAGCAGTCTGTTGTCTCCCACAGCAAATCCTTTTAGGAGAATTAGATAATAAACGAAGCCACAGCTGTGGCTGAGCAACATGAGCAGAGTTTCAGAATTTCATCTGCCCAAGTAAAATAGGCCTGTCTGGCTGTCATACAGTGACTTAACCTTGACACACTAATATATTTCCAGTCATATAAAACTGCACCCTGCTTGAGCTACAGTATTACAAAAGATCACTCTGGTGAACATTCAGCATCCAAGTATCAGGATTGCATCAGTAATCCGGGCTTGGAGACAGCCCTGTCTTGCAAGACTGTAATGGTTAAACCAGAGTGACTAAGGCTAAATGTCGTCCTGCTCTACTAACCAAAGCCGGAAAAACCCCACCCTAAAAAGCAGTTTGCTTAAAACCAAAATCTTAATAACAAGAGAGTTAAGTTTTTGCTATAGCTAAAAGTGAACAGTAGAAATTTATTACACTGTGAAAAAGTCAGGAATTAATAGACCCTATTCTAGTTTTGTGGGCTGTTAATGAAGTCAGAAACTTGGAAAAGTGTTAGCATTCATTCCAATGCCACTGCAGAAGCCGAGAACAACAGTGGGGGAAATGTGAGCAATAAATCACGTTCTTACAAATAGTCTAGGAAGGAGGAAGATGTCAGACAGGAGGGTGCCTGGGCCCTAAGAGTGCAGATTTGCTATATTTTTCTCTGGGTTCATCCTTCTGCATAATTTATCCAGCCCCCCTGAAACAATCTTGTTGGAGCCATTTCCTGCTCAGCATTTTGGACACCATCTGCTAAACATAACATTAAGCATATAATCATTAGACATAGATCATAGTCTGACCATGCAGTCCTGCAATATTGAGTCTGGAGTGATATATGGGTCAGACACCTTACAAAGCTCCCCTTCACCCTTTCCAAGGTTACAGTTGCAGAGATGCCAGTCAGACCATTGCAACAGGAATCAAGGAATTGCCACAGAGCCACGAACAGAAAAATTCTCAGTGCTGTTGGGTTGTCCTTTTTTTTGGATATCAAATGTCTGGACCTTTGCAATGGTGCACTTCACTGCTAGCTGTGCAGCTATAAAGACAGCTCAGATGACAAAAAATACAGATGTGGCTAACCTGTATGTGTACAGCACGTAACATGGACCTGACAGAGAAAGAAACAGGCCAAATCTTCATTATCAGAAAATTAATTCTAGCTAGTATAGACAGTAATAACATTTAAGGGGAAATAACTGAAAGCATGATTTACAGTTAATAAAGATGAGGTGTCATCATTAGCTTTTGCAGTGCTTAGCCTGCTCAGCTGGGGTTGAGTCAAATGCTTACAGGACAGTACACTATAAATAACAGCTAGACTGGAAGTCAACCAGATATCAAAGTAACCCTGCATCAAGCCGAATTAAGAGCAGCCCTTGTTGAAAAATCTGTCCAGCTTGGTGTTTTTCAGTACTGATTAATATTACATCTGATTGCAGCCACTAGAAGTTACAGAATAGCGAAGCTGTGCAGATCAAGGTATCACTCACAAATAAATGAAGAACCAACTGCTTAACAGGAGGGAACTCACAGTAAGAGAAACCCTATTGCAGTGTGTTTTCGCCACACAACTCATCACTTTAAAAATCAGCACCACTTCTGAACAGGAGCCCAAATAGTAACCATCTAGCCTGCTGGTGACCATTGATGGAATGATATTCATCACTGGCTAACACAGCCAGAAAAACGTGTAGCTAAAATTTAGACAATACTTGGGACTGGAAAGTCTGTTGATTTGTAGAATAGACTCTTAGATATTAAAAGTTAAACTTGATAAAAATAATGAGAAATGTACCTTATAGAACAACTTGTGTGTGAGCACATGGACTGACTTTGTTGTTTCAGTCTCTGGTTTCTTATTTAAAATAAAAAACATAAGATCATCATAAATCAAATTGCAATCTTGTCCTCCTCATAAAGAACTTGCCAGAGAACACATTATCAGAATAACTAGGGCACACACTGTCATCACAAATTGCTTTTGTTGGGAAGCATTAACGAAACTAAAAGGCTGAAAGATCATTCAGAAAATAAAGAATTGAAGGTTCCCTGTGGGAAATAAAAATAATTACAGCAGAGAGCAAGCACATGTTTCTCTGTTGAGTTACATCCTCTAGATATGTAACAAAGATGGAGGTGAATCTTTGAAGCTGCCTGCCTGTGAAACACAGCCAGAGGTAAGGTTCTTTTATACAGGTATGGATGCAATGAAAGGGAGCCTACTGAATAGATTTAAATCTATCAGAAACAACTAAACCAATGACATTTCAAAACACCGCAAACTAACTTTGCTTCCCTTTCCTTCTTACTAAAGGATCACCAAAAATGTGTACCAGAAGGGAGCAAAGTTCAAAGAACTGTTCTAGTTCTGCCTGAACAGTAACGAAAATCCTCTCCCAGATTTCTGAATCACATTTGGTCTCACCTAGAAGCATTCCTGGGAACTCTAGGCTTCTCTCTGATCTGAACTAAACATAAGAATAAGCAAAGATTAACCCTACCAAGACTAATGCTTCTTTGCCGACTGGTCTTATTTCCAGTGCAGGGGAATGGCTGGATTAATTGTGGCCATGATAATTAGCTCATAGCTTGTTTGGGTCATGGCTTAGAAAGATATAGGGCTGGAGAGAGGAATTGTACTTTTGTACTTTGTCTCATGGCTGATACTGAAGGTTGGTAAACCTTGGCAGGCTGAGCTGCGCCGTTCCTGTGTTTGGCAGTCACTGTACAGGCATCGTGACTTTGCGTGGCAGCAGGACCCTGGCAGCAGTGCCAGCCGCCACCACAGTGCCTGCTGCATTTCAGGAGGAGACTTCTGAAAGCACAGGCCTCTTGTTAGTCCTCAGCATAGCCTTTACACAGAAAGGGTTTTTGACTGGTTTGATGGCCTGGCAATGGTTCCAGTAGTGACATTTAGGACCAAATCCCCAGTCTCCTGCTTTAGCAGGATTTCACAAATGCAGTCAGACGAAGTTCATATTCTTAAATTTTCAGACTATTGGCTAATACCAAATATATCAGTCCAGACATGCTCTGTGCCAAGCCTGCCCTAGTTCTGCCAAACTGTAATGTATGTACCATCCTATCCATCTCCTCGCTGCTTTTCTGGGAGGCCAGAGACAGACAAGCACTCTATCCTCATTCCAATGCTTTCTAATACTGTATTAATGTACTTGTTGGCATCACAGCCACCCAGGCCTTTGCAGGTCTCCCTTGCAATGTGAATCAGAAATGTCTCCTTGCCCTTTGTTTGCATGTACCGAAGTATAGATTTGCACTGAAGAAGTCATTGACAAGTTAAGACAATTAATGCCAGCAGAGAGTTCACCCACAGCTGTGTGAAGCACATTTAATATGAATATCCCATTGGCTTTTAACCACTTGGTCACTACAAAGTTATACTTAATCACTGTGTCACTGTGAATAATTTTTTACCTCATTTTTTTCAGATTAGTCATAAATGTCTTTTAATGTTGACCTGTCTTCTTGTCTGTCCAGTCTGAGTAGGCAAATCACTTTTATTTCTTTTAGTTTGGGAGAAGAAATGTCACAGACATGAAATATCTGACATTTCTGAGAGGCATTTGTAGACTATTCCTTAGCTCAACAGTTGCATTCTTTTCAGAGATACTGAAGACATGTATTTCAACACTGCAGGTGCTTTCTAAGTTTAGTCAGATTTCAAGCTGATGCATGTTTTTGTATTTAAGCCCCAAAATACATTCAGAAACAGTCCAGGAATTGTGACTCGTGAACATATATTCAGAGCTTGTTATGGATGTTATTTTCATAGACTATAATAAAATCAAGAAAAGATATTATTATCGATGATTTATTCATTAATTTAATAGATTAAGCTAATCATAGTTAAGCTATGACAATGTGTAGTATTAATGTGATATATATTTGGTA